AGAGAGAGAGAGAGAAAAAAACTATTCACACCACTTCATCCCTAGACCTGTATTAGATCAAGCAAGCCGAAGCCCACAGAAACCAGCTAGCTATATATCAACATTTGAAGTGGATCAACTTTATCAAAGTTCTCTTAAAACCAAAATGCATTCTTGTCTTAAGACAACTTTGATGAACTTTTTTTGATCCACTTCAAATGTTGACTACTGTATATGCGTGCTTTCTGATGCCAACGTGAGAGATTTGGGGTAAGTCAACAGCCATTACATTACCCAAAAGCTCAGCGGTTTGGAAGCGGCAGCGTTTGGCTGAGGACTTATCAATCTCCAGGGTTTTAACATTTCTGGAGAGAAGTTCAAAAGTGCCATAGAACCGCTGTAGAGTAATATCCTATAACATAGGGAGACTTCAGGTTAAATTTCAGCCACACGGTCACAACTCAATTATGAGAATTTTAAAGTGGCTTCTGCAACTGGGCCCTGCTTGTGGTTTAAGTTTTACCTCATAAACGTATCCAATGGTAAACAGAGGCACAGCCAATATTAATGTGGTGCTGTCACTGGTCAGGATGTAGCCACGCTCCGATGCCAGCTGTGGGGTCAAGGTGTAAGACCCAATGGCAATGTCCCACAAGTAGTCATACTGCTGATGGTCCTTCATGAAGCTTATGCCATTGTCAGTACACATGCTGTCAAACACTGGCGGTACTGTGGAGACAATTAAAAACACCCCCTAAAATGTATGGAAGACAGTACTATATCAAGTGTCAAAAGTGTTTGATTCATCTGAAAATAGTCTCATGTCAAAAATCTAAAACCATAACTTTTAAAATGCTGAAAAGTTAATGGTTCTTACTGGCATCAACGATTAAAGCAGACACAGAAGAAAAGTGGTAATATGCCTCCATCTGAGGTATGATGTTCAAAGTCCATTTAATTTCCAGAGAGTACTTAATGCCCACCGAAATGTACTGCAAGGGAGAGACAAAACGCTGAAACCGAAGACGAACATTTAACACACGGGTCTGAAGTTACGGCCACTTGGTCTTACAAGCATGCAGCAAGTCCATAGAGCAGGGTTTCATATAATACACTTGTAAAATTCTCAAACATAGATACAAAATTCACATTAAGCTGTACACTATATAGCAAAATCTCAACTGCCTGCAAAAGTATCTTATCAGCCAGCTCTTTATATAAATTTGGATCTAAAAGCATCTGTCCAACTTCCACATACTACAGTATACTTGCTAAAGTGTATACCACCCATGCATCTCAATTGCTTGAGTGGTCACAAAGCCCACGTTAAAGATCACTGTACTTCAACCTGCTAACATGAATGCATGAAGAAAGATCATGACTTTGTAAAACTGCTTTGAAACGGTGCATTACAAAAAGTCCTGACCTAGAAAACAGTGAACAAAAGCAAACCTCACCTGCTTCACAACAAATTGGTCATCAAAAGGCACCCTAATGATGTACGCAAAGGTATTTTTGCCTTCCGAGACTCTGGTGATGGCGTACCCCATCTGTGCGGCAGTCAATACGGAGATCTCCTGCCCATTCAGCTCCACAGACACCAGTTCCACATCAGAAGGAATATTACCCAGGTAGACCTGGAAGACTCGCGCCTCAAGGGTCGTTTCTGGATGAGTCAGTACAGTTAAAGTAAACCCATCACCCAAAGAGAAGCAGCGATATGCCCAAACATGATATTCATTCCAACTCACGGTTAACTGAAAAGGGAGGATGAGGAATTGGTGGAGTAGCCATCTGCCGGACCACATTATGCTTGGTCACCACACCATGCTGGTCCACAAGCATTTGCTGGTAGGTCAGCTGGACCATGTACAGCTCATTATACATATTTTCCATCACAAAACTCTGTAGACAAACGTAAACATGCGATTCATAATCTCCTAATCCACTTACTTTAGGATGCTTCAAAACCAATTCCAGGATCATACATGGATAAAACTTCATGGAGCATACCTTTCGTATTCCTCCCTCAGCAGCAAAGGGGATGCTACTCTCTACAGTCTCTTCAGCAACGGTCACAGAGTAGCCTCGGTCTATCGCAGCCTGTTCATCTACAACCTCACCATCAACTCCTATGCCTATGTACTCGCTCCTCAACTCAGAGGGTCCAACAACCAGGGGAGTCATTACTGCAGGGGTCCTCCAGTGAAGTCTGTAGCCATCAAAAGAGCCTTTATCTGAAAGTCGAAGAATCAGTGTAAATATGGAACCTGAAGGTGACTTCTGCAACTCTACAGAGATTCAGTAACAGATAGTGGGAGGGGGGG